AATCACTAAATTACACTGCTCATTAGTAAGGGATTCGTAGCAAGGGCAAGCTGTGCCATCCTTATGAATTTTTCAATCAAAAGAAAAATCCTCCTCTTCTCTGTTAAAAAATTCTTTAAATACAGGGGAAAAAACAACTCAGAAAAAAAATTACGCAAATGGCAAGGTAGTGACAGGGCATCTATCAAAGTGGCTCTGGAAATTCCAATTTTTAAAGTGCTATAAAAATATCATTATTAATGATGATTGACTGGGTTTTCAGAGCCAAGATATTTCAAGGCTGCTAAGTTAGAGTGGAGTGCGAAGGCAGGGGTGCTAAAATGGCTTCAGGGTTCCCTCACTTTGTTTCTTCATTGATTTTTAAGTAACATGTGAGCACACTCAAATTGATGATTTTCATTTTGAATTAGTTTGGCCTCTGTCATGGAGAGCCTTCCATCTTTTCCTGAGTGTCAGTGTCTAATTCATCTTCATCAAGTCCCCAGCAGGAAGATTTGGATCTTATTACTTTTTGTTTTACAGTTTTATCGTTTACAGGAAATTGGGACACAGAGGAAAAGAGAGGTGCATTTACCCGCATTTTCAGTAAACTTACCCAATAGGAGAAGATAAGCCTTCCCTCATGGACCTCGTTGAAGCTCCTGGATTGGACAGTCCCAGGAGGTGGGAGAGTTGAGACCCTAATCCAGTACTCCCTTGAGATATTTTGTTTGCTTGTTTGTTTTTGTTTCTTTCAGATTCCTGAAGTCTTAGCTCCGGGTCTTTATAAATTGGATACCTTGTACCTGTGGTCTTTATGGACCTAGATGTCCTCTCCATTTTACAGATGGGGAGATTAAGGCTAGAGAAAACACATTACAGGACTGGCAAGACTGTATTAATTTCGATATGGGTAACTGTTCCCATGAAAGCTTTCTATTTTGCACTGTTTTCAGTCACTGCCAAGACTGGGGAAAATGACAAGGATGGTTTTGTAAAGTGTAACTAAAATGTGCTTGAAGAACATTACAGAAAGATAGAGATAGTCCTGTTTAGTGTTTAGGTAATGCCCAAGGTCCAACTTGGGGAACTTCTTTAAGGACGCAGGGAAAAGCACGTCAACACTGACAAAACCCATCGTTGACTGAGCAAAAATCTTTTCCTTTCAACCCCCGAAAGCGTCCTAACTCTCAACCCTCTGCTTTTAGCTGTGAGCCTTGCTGTACCGAGTCTGAAGACTCATGCATCCTCCTCCAGTCCTCTGGGAAGACATCAGTTTGTCCTTTGACCATGTGCCAAAGATGGAAAAAAAAGAAGAGCTTTGACAACTGTGAACCAGGAAATTTTTTGTTTGTTTGTTTTTTTAAAACGAGATTTGCCAACCCCCCCAAAGAAATTTTGTCTAAGTTACAGACTGTCAGTCTTTACAATCACCCTTCCTTCTTTTTCTTTTCTGAATCCCACTTTTTCACGGAGGGTAGATAATCTTTGGCATTATCCTCATTGGCTCAGCTTAGCTCTCAGTCCCTTGGGGTCCTGCTGACTCTATAAACTTTCAACTTCTAAATCCAGTGCTGGCTCACCCAGGAAAGGAAAAGGCAAATTGAACAATAAAATTCAAGCTGTAGCTTCCGTTGTGACTCAAGAGCAGAAAATGTTTTTAATGTCCAAGAGCACATAAGTGCCATTAATCACCAAAAATTTATTATTTCTCATTGGGGTCCCCAAAGAAACACCATTTTGCCCAACTGCATTATTATCTGGAATTTGAAAAGCTTTTCAAAACTAATTACCTGATTGAATATTTACCTAGGGTTGAGCGTTTCAGAAGCTCTTTCATAGAAATTATATATGCCGAAAAAGAGAAAGTAGCATTTTTTCTTCCTTTCTTTTCTTTTTCATTTCTCCCTTGTGTTTCTCTTCCTTTCCTTAGTGACCCTTGCTGTGTCAGCCTTTCTACGCATGATCAGTTTGCTGTGATCTATGGAAAACTCCCACCTCAGGAATTTGAAGCCTGTGGTAAGTCTTTTTATTTTTTGAGTCCAGGCTATAGATTACTTTTGTTTTGAGAAAGCCTTAGAGGCTTGTAATATAGTCACAACTTTTTATTTTTTGAACTGCATAAATAAATTAAACCTTTTTTGGAGGGAGGGATTTTTTGCAGGTATAAGGTCAGGATACTTTTCTATTGTATCTCTGAAATATTTTTTTTTTTTCTATATAATAAAGCATACTTTATTCTAATATTTGTACATGTGAGTGTTTATAGATCTTCTTGTCTGTACCTTCCCTTGACTTCTGAGATACTGCTCTCTCCTGCTTTTCTCTCACCTTCGCTTTCCTTTTCGGTTGTTCAGGTTTTTGCTACTCCTGTGAGCCTCAACCAGCAGTTGGCCACACCTACAGTTGAAAATGCAGAATCTCAGGCCCAGCTTCAGAATAATTCTGATTCTAAGACAGAACCTGCAATAAGATCCCTAGATGATTAGTTGGCACCATAAAGTTTGTGTATCTCTGAAATATTAAGTATTATTTGGGTGTTCACACAATAAGTTGATAGGATCCTTCCTTCCTTCTCTTCCTTTTCTTTTTTTCTCTCTCCTTTCTTTCTTTCTTCCTTCCTTTCTTTCTTTCTTCCTTCCTTTCTTTCTTTCTTTCTTTCTTTCTTTCTTTCTTTCCTTTCTTTCTTTTTTTTTTTAAGATTTTATTTATTTATTTGACAGAGAGAGAGATAGCAAGAGCAGGAACACAAGCAGGGGGAGTGGGAGAGGGAGAAGCAGGCTTCCCGCTGAGCAGGGAGCCCCATGTGGGGCTCAATCCCAGGACCCTGGGATCATGACCTGAGCCGAAGGCAGACGCTTAACGACTGAGCCACCCAGGCGCCCTCTTTCTTTCTTTCTTTCTTTCTTTCTTTCTTTCTTTCTTTCTTTCTTTCTTTCTTTCTTTCTTTTTCTTTCTTTCTTTCTTTCTTTCTTTCTTTCTTTCTTTCTTTCTTTCTTTCTTTCTTTTTCTTCTTTCTTTCTTTCTTTCTTTTTCTTCTTTCTTTCTTTCTTTCTTATGTTCCTACTGCAGTAAATCAACATTGAAAGAATGTTATAAATTCATTTTTTGGTAATTCTTAGACTACATTAAAATAATTGATTTGGGGAACCTAAGTAAATATATACCATAACAAACCCACGTTTCTCATTTCATGTGGAAGACAGCTGCATTTTCTTTCATGCACAGAGATCATATCAAAAGCTATGTTAGGGCGCCTGGGTGGCTCAGTCGGTTAAGCAACTGCCTTCAGCTCAGGTCATGATCCTGGAGTCCCGTGATCGAGTCCCACATCGGGCTCCCTGCTCGGCGGGGGGTCTACTTCTCCCTCTGACCCTCTTCCCTCTCGTGCTCTCTGTCTCTCATTCAGTCTCTCAAATAAATAAATAAAATCTTAAAAAAAAAAAAAAGCTATGTTAAACAATGGGAGCTTCAAATTCATTCTCTGGTCTTGGGGGACATAACTTTTTGAGATAGTAAGACTACAGTTAAACTAAAGTATTTAAGATGCAAGGAAGAATTTTAGAAAGGTTTCTTTTTCTGGGTTAGGATGTACAGCTTTAATAGTGCAGAACATTGTAATTTCATATGCTCCATCCCAATAGGGAACTAATGGAGGAAGACCACTGCATTTGTAGAAAGACTATGGTCTGCCGGGCTCCATATGTATTCTCCCCATGGCCCTACAAGGTGGGCATCATTATCCCTATTTCACAAATGAAGAAACAGAGGCTCAGAGGGATTAGGTGATCTAACCAATGTCAAAAACATAATAAATAGCAGCATTAGGAAGATCTATGTGACTCCAAATCCATGCTTTTTTCCATTATAACCTATTGCTTCCAATAGGTGAGCAGGCTAATTTAACATCTACCATTACTGCCTCTACACAGGTAAATGCACAGAGAATACTAACTCTTCCAGTGGTCTGCCAACCAGAGGTGAGGAGGCCATTGCCTCTGGCTAACCCATCTCTCTAAGAATCTTGAGGATGAACAAAGTGTCTTCTTTTTCTCACTGTATTGCCTGAAGGAAATGAGCAGTTCATAGTAACTCCAGAATTTCACCCAATTGCTGAGTGTTCAGGCTGAGGAGATCAAGCATATGCAAACACTGTTGTATCAGGTGCAGTGAAATAAACTAGAATCAGCCTGAGCTTTCCTGTGATCTTTAGTTGGGGTCTTTTTATAAGGTGTTGAGTCAAGACAACCTCGACTAACAGGATCAGAACAAGTTCTCGGTGGGACAGGAGTGGTTCTGGGCCTAAGTGTAGTTGTAAAATAGACTTATTTTCTGGGATACAGGCTTCCCTTTCAGAGCTTTTGTCTCTATTATGGAAATTCCTCTCCCATCAGCACACTAGACCTTCATACTTTTTCCATTTCCCCTTAACACAATCTGATCTGGGAGCTATCACCTGGAAAGAATCTAATCAATGATATCATTACTTGCAGGAATGACTCTGATGGTGGAATTTCAAGAATCAAGGGAGGCAAGTGAAGATGAAACTTCAAAGCAGCAGAGGTTTCTTAACACCCTTGGATGTTTAGGACATAAGTGACTACTTATTCATGAGCAATTCATGGGTGAGACTGATCCTGGAGGTTGATGGAAGAAGGCTAATGTAGGTGGCTGAAGGGTGCTTGACCAGAGTGTGCCTCTGGAAAAAAAAACAAAAAAACAAAAACAAAACCCCAAAAGCCAAACCCAAGAGTCCTTTTGCTGGCATGTTGTTGCTCTGTTATCTTCCAAGTCACTCTACTATGGACTCTGGCATTTGGATTGAAGCTGACTGTGGGGTTGGGGAGCATTGGGGGTGGTGGTGGTAAGGGGGAGGAGGGTGGAAGCATTTTCTTTCCTGCAGCTAGGTTCTCTAGCCTCTCTAGGGGAAGGCCAAGATGATTCCTTTAGTCATTGTAACTTGGTCAGAGATCCTTCCTTGAGAAGAAAGAGTGATTATGAAGATTGACGGCCTAGGCAATGCAGTAGAAAAATGCAGCACATTTTTAAAAAAGTAGTCCATTGACTGGCTGTGATGCCAGGTTTTCCTAAACTGTTTCCATATCTATTGCTTTATTGAAGTCCCAAACTTTTGGTTGTGGAGTTTGGGAAGTTTTCTGGAGAGCCAGCAATTTACCTCCCCTCTTACTGACTGTAGATCCCTAGGGCAGAAGGACATGGCCAATTTATAACATGATCCATGGTAAATGAAAACATTTTTTAAGAAGGAGTTTTCTTCTACAGTCATTTCAGAAGCACTACTATTTTATCTAGAAGGTGAAGAAATACTGAGAGCAAAGCCACTGTTGCAATCTGTGGCAGGGTAGGTAGATGATATGTTTCTTTTGTGCTTGAGGGGTTGGCCAACAATGTTTGTGGTAATTATAACTTGTTTCTTGCTTACAGGAGAAGGTGAAAGGGCTTGAGGAGCACCTCTGCATACTCCACACTGTGAGAAGGATGTGTTGAGGAACTAAGACAAAAAATAAGCCAGATGAAAAAAACAAGGAGGGGAAGGGAAATCTTTGTCAACAAGTAGATGTGGTGAATTAAGTAGCTTTTCCCATTGGTAGAAATTAGGCTTATTCATACTTCTTTTTGATTTGGTTTTTAAATTTGAATCCTTCTGTTAGAGCATTGCTCTAGTTGTTTTCTATCCATTTCTCTAAGTGTGCCTACCTCCACTGGGTTGTGAACTACATGAGGGCAGGTGTCCTCTTTTTTTGTATCCTTAGCATCAAGCTGGATAGAGAACAGTTCTGCAACAAATGACTAATGAATGACTGAAATTATTTTTTATATTTTAGAATTTTAATTCTAAAACAGTCATTTCCCTGGGAATGGGACACCCCTGTGGGTCATCTCAGAGAATTTAGGGGGTGAGTAGAGCCAATAAACTGACCTGAGTAGGGCTAGATTATGGACTAGTTGAGGAAAATAACCTCTTTTACTGTAAATTGACAATCTGAAGCATGAATATGGTGAATTTAGCCAAAGATGATACCTTGAGGCAAAGGAGAGTACACAAGATTGAAGACTATCCCAAGAGTCCAGAAAGACATGCTCCTAGCAGGGCTGGCTTTATGGAAGTGCGGCCTGTGTAGTCGCATGGGATCCTGCAGTCAGAGGACCCTGCATGTGGTCTATGGTGTCCTAGTGCAGTCTTGAAATTCTTAATAATGTTTGAACAGAGACCCACAATTTCACTTTGCATTGGGCCCTGCAAATTAGGTAGCTGGTCCTGGCTACTATAAGATGATGGGAGCCACAAGGGCCAAGATCAGAGAAGCTGCACTGGATAGTATTTGAGAACAGCAGGGGAAGAAGCAAGTACTGGCTGTAAGCAGAACTCATCTTACCTGGCCGCTGAGTGCGTTGCAGGCACTGCATAAAGCAGATTTCCTGGAAGGGTGAAAGATAGGACCACTGGTCAAGGAAGGACAGGTATCCTCTGGGAGGACGAGTGTTCAGGGAGTTAAGAAGGAAGACCCTTTTCTCTCTTGGGTAATGGGAGAGACAAAAAGGAGGGCTTGCAGGGCTGGAAGACTGGGCTAGTCTCAGGAAGAGTGAGGACATACCTGCAAATTCAGAGTGAAATAACCTGAAGTGCAGAGAAGGAATCTTTAGGTTTTTCTAGTCTCTGTCCCCAAATAGGGCCCCAAAGGAATGTCAGACTGGTCAACTGGCAAAGCCCCACACCAGGGACAGATATTAGGATGTGAGTTGTAGAAGACACTAAAAATCCACAAAACCTCACTCTGGTTTCTAAGTATACTAGAGAGAAAGGAAGTCAGTAATTACATGCCAAGGAAAATAGCTAGGAAAACTCTTAGATGTCTTGATTTTGGGGGTAGCTTTTTCACATTTGTTGTCATTAACCTATCTACTTCTCCACAGTAATAAATAATACTGTCTTAAACTGGAAGGGCCTGTGTACTTATTCTGGGCTGTAACAATAAGGGGAGGAGGTGGGTGAGTCATATTGTACTCTGTAAAATATCCTAAGCAGAACCTACCTTGGAAAGAAACAAATGATAGAACATAGAGTAGAAGAGCACAGCTTTTTGTTTTGTTTTGTTTTTTGAAGGTTAACCATCTGGAGCCTATAAGGACTGTGACAACTGTGACACAGCTGAAGATGAGCAAGAGAAAATTAAGCTGCGTGGAAGCTTTATGAGGTTCTTCTCCTAGAGGGCAATTCCAGACATATTCAAGTAGAGGCATTATCCAACCTCTAAGAGATTCCAAGAGATTCCTAAGCATTCAAAAAATGATGGAACTGTTATCCCAATCAAATAAAACACACATATCATAACTATTTGATAGTGAACTCTCTGCTGGTTGGGAGGAGATGGCCATGCATAAACCTGCTGTGGTCATGGGTCTACGCACTATAACTTCTCAGAGCAGGCCTCCAGATATGATAGAGGACCTGCCAAGATCACCAACCTCACCGATCCATGCTACTCTGTTCACGTGGGAACAAAAGTTGTTGTCACAGGATCTACATCTCTAGGACCAGGTAGGGAAGGGAAACCATTTAAGGTTGAGTGGGACTTTTTTTGTCTTCTTCCGGTTTATTGGTCATGACTCTGGAAGAAGAAGGCAGGTAATAGCTGGTTACATAGAAGGTATCTAAAGGAAAGAATTTGTCTTCTGGATCATGATAAGACTGTCAGTAGGATGAACTACTGAAAATGGAGAACATATTTAACAAAAATGAAAAAAATCAAAGTGGAGAACATATTTAACAAAAATGAATGAATAAAGGGCAGTGAGAAAAACCAAGACCAACTACCAAGTAGGTAATAAGGACAGTGGGCATGCCAGAGAAAGGGTTTGTATAGTGGAGGTGGTCCTTAGTAATTATCACTCTTTCATTCATTCAACAAATAATAGAGATGTTCACTAAGAACAGTATTTATGGGGGCGCCTGGGTGGCTTGGTGGGTTAAGCGTCCGACTCTTGATTTCATCTCAGGTCATGACCTCAGGGTCCTGGGATGGAGCCTCACATCTCAGCATGGAGCCTGCTTGAGATTCTCTCTCTCCCTCTCCCTTTGCTGCTTCCCCCCACTTGCTTGCACTCTCTCTCTCTCAGAAAAAAAAAAAAAAAAAAAAAAAAAAAATATTTATGATCTTAGGAGACTATATAGGCCAACACAGAAAAGGAGGCGCCAAAAGAACTCGAAGTTTTAAACCAAAAAAAAAAAAAAAAAAAGTATAATATTATTGAGAGGACTAAGGTTTTATGGGATAAAATTCAGCCTGAATATATCAAGAGAAAAACATACTTTATTCAAAAACTGATACGGTAGAAGGAAAATAGAATAGTGGTCTGTGTGATGAAGGTATACATCTAGATGGAAACAAAGCGCAAGCAAAAAAGAAATCAACATTTACTGTCATGAAAATATACCACTCAGGCCCCTTGGGAAGAGGAAAAATACAGAAACTATGTTTTTAGGGTTAAATGGTGGTATGAAGTAACCCGTTGCAGTAATGAGAGAATTTGACTATAATGATAGAATTAAAGTACTCAATATGTGCTTCACTTTTAATGTTCACATTTTTAATCCTCAAAATGATGTCTTTGACAAGGGCAAATTGTTATTGGTCTGTAACAAGATCAAAGTAAGTATTTGGATACTTTTTTTTTAGCAATTTTCATCATCACAACAGTTTAATTTTATTTTACAAAATTAAAACTGATCCTTCACTGCAGATGCTTGAGAAGCACTATCATAGTTCATGATAAAATAGAATTCAAAAAGTGTACTGCTCTTCGGGATACGGTTCATTAGAAAAAGGAATTTAAAGAGAAAATGAAAGAATGGGGGAATTTGAATAGACATTTAGCTATTATTCCAATGGGACAAATAAAAAAAATCATCTCAAAAGTGGTGTGATTATATTAGCAGCTCTCCTGATGAGGAAAAATAGATGAACCCCTTCTACCAAGTATCTATTATATATTGGACAGTTCTATTTAAATTATCTTATTTAATCTTTACCCTTCGGATAAGTGATACTATTCTAGTTTTTATGGAAGGGAGACGTGAGGTTCAGTGACTTTAGTGGGTTGCATGGTGGCCCACAAAAAGGTATGTCCACATCCTAATCCCCAGAACCTGTGAATGTTACCTTATATGGCAAAAGATATAATTAAGTGAAGGATCTTGAGAGGAGGAGCTTGTTATAAATGGATCACACATATCCTTATAAAATAGACACACAGAGGAGAAGACAAAGAGGAAACAGAGACAGGAGGTGGCCATCAGCCAAAAAAAAAAAAACAACTGGAGCCACTAGAAGCTGGAGGAGGCAAGGAACAGATTCTCCCTAGAGCCTTTGGAGGGCCTGTGGCTTTGCAGACGCTTGGTTTTGGCTTCTGGCCTCCAGCATTGTAAGGGAATAAGTTTCTGTTGGTTTAAGCCACCTTGTTTGGGGTAATTTGTTACAACCGCCTTAGGAACCTAATATAGTGACTTAAAGAGACTTCTAGAAAATGAAAAGTCTATTATTTAATCTCAGGTCTAACTCCAAAGCCTTTTACTATGACCTGTAACATAGCAGCTGTCCAGACTTTATTGTTCTGGGATCAAATGATTAGAAATATGTTGAAGGGATGGGGGAAGCATGGAGAAATAGAGTGTAGGACATGGCCTCATATACTAGGCTTCAATGCTCATTCCTCTACTCACTGCACTTGGCTTTCAGAGTCTCCACTCCCTCTGAAAATAAAGTATCATAAACCAAATTAACAGTGTTATTGTGAGGATTGAATTATGATGGCATATGTATAAATTTCTTTGCAAATTGTGGAGCACTATTCAAATACTAATTACCAACACATTTTTTTCCCCCAGAGAGACTGAAGAGATGATGTTGGCCCTTTCCACTGATGATCTGTCTGTTGCTGACGCAATGGCACTGGGTTGCCCACCTTCCCACCATCGCAGATGGCAACGTGAGCCTACACCTCTCTCCGGATGCACGGTCCTAACATCACATGCCAGCAGGTGCAACCAGAAGCCCCTGCACCTGCTGAGCAATTTCTTTCTTTCTTTTCTTTCTTTCTTTCTTTCTTTCTTTCTTTCTTTCTTTCTTTCTTTCTTTCTTTCTTTCTTTCTTTCTTTCTTCCTTCCTTCCTTCCTTCCTTCCTTCCTTTCTTTCTTTTTCTTTCTTTCTTTCTTTCGTCTTTCTGTCTTTTTTTTTAAGGTTTTATTTATTTTTAGAGAGAGAAGGAGAGAGAGAGTGAGTGGGGGGAAGGGCAGAGGGAAAGAAACTCAAGCAGACTCCCCACCAAATGTGGAGCCCGACAGGGGGCTCGATCTCACCATCCATGAGATCACGACCAGAGCTGAAACCAAGAGTCAGCTGCTCAACCAACAGAGCCACCCAGGCCTCCAAGCAATTTCTATTTGAAAGAAAACCTCAGAGCTACCATGCCAGAAGAAAAGAGTTGTTTCCAGCAGATATTTTTTTTCAGTATTCAGATGGACAATACTAAATAACTCTGTTCAACAGGTGAGTTCATTTTTACCTGTTTACTTATAACCTGCCTTGTTCCACAATGGATTTAAGGTAGATTGCCAATTAATACCACACAAGATCAAATAAAGTGAGAAATAAGGGGTGAGGAAAGAAGGACAAGGGGAAAACGAGACTCAGAAAACTAAAGGAAGCCAGGAGTGGGTCAGACTGACTGAGATCTGTAAGGTCCCTCACCCTCACCAGGGTTGGCTATGCAGCGTCCCTGAGCTTTCTTGTCGTTAATACAAAAAAAGGGCTCTAAGTCAAGGTCCCCCCCAACATCCCCTAAGATGTGATTTGAGTCTCTCAGGGCACAGCCTATGGCAGATCAAGGCCCCAAAGATGTTGACATTGAGCATCCCAACAATCATTTTCGCCTGAATTGAAAATAAATCAGTAAAGCATCAATGAAATTTGTGTCTCTGAGGAACATAACTTCCTGATGTAGTGTCTGATATAAACTAGCTATAGAATTTATACTTGCAGAAACCATTGACAAACTAGCTGTACAGGATGACCGTAAATCAGATCCATCAACAGCGATGACTTCGGTTTCAGCAATGTTCATCTGCAGCCCTTCCTTCTTGGCACTAATCAGGGCAAGCTTGATCTGTAGCCATTCTGTTCATGGCAATAAACTCAGAGTCTGCTTAGAAGAGGATGTCTATTCATCTCTTCCCTAGAAGAGGGGGAAATACATTGTTTATAGAAAAGTGCCGTTAAATTATTAAAATTTGAGTGAAAAAGAAAAGGCAGTCTAAGCACATGTCTGTTTTTACCCCACTGAACTCACTACTTGAAGACTAATTCAGTTACTGTTGTGGTGTGAATTGTGAGCTAATTCATCACGGGGAGCCCTTTATGATGTTGCAGTGCTTAAAATAAAAGCATTTGCAAAGGCTATATTACACCATTTTGTAGTGAAAATTGATGGTGGGTACATAACCATAGCTGTCAAGCTGCTTTAAACCTGAATTCTCGCTTTCTGTTCTCTGGCAGGGGTTGGCAAACTTTTTCTGCAATGTGCTAGATAATAAATATTTTAGGCTTTGTGGACCATGTGTTCTGTGTTGTGACTATTCAGCTCTGCCATTGTGGTGAAAAAAAAAAAAAAAACAGCCACAGACAATCCATAAGCCCATGGGTGTGTCTGCATTCTGTTAGAACCTTATTTAGAAAAACAGGTAGAGGGGTATTTGGCCCAGGAACCACAGTTTGCTGGCCCTTACTCTATGATGTAGAACTGCCTGTGTTTTGAAATCGATCATTGCCCCTGGCGTGCCAGTTACTTAAGGCATGGAACTCTTTATTGCATCAGTAAGACAGAAAAACCATATTCTTGATTTCCAGTCTAGCTTCAGCCTCAGTGTATCAGCAGTCTCCCCATTTGTCAAGGGCTGGCTAAAACACAGATAAAGGAAATCACATACTGGTCACAATCATTAATTCATGACTCTTGATTTTAAAATGTTCAGCTTTGCATGAAGCCAGGTTATAAGAACATTTATTCACACGTATACAATGTTACCTTCCGTCCTCTACAAGGACCCCCACAGAATGACAGTGTGACATCACAACTTCATCTTTTATTAAGGATCTTATATAACAGTGACTGCTTGGAGAACATATTTCCTCTTTTGTGAAATTGCTGTTGGAGACACTTTCCATTAGATTGTTTTGTGTCCTTTATGGGAAACTCTGTCAGGGATCCCTCTTAGAGTTTAGCACCATGACAGAGTGTGTCTATTGTTACACTTCCTGTAATTAACCAGAGAGTGCAGTGTATCTCTTCCTGTGTTGCCTTCCAGTCCAGGATTTTAGCTGTTTCCAAAAAGCGAAGCTAAGTATATATTCCATCACACAGATTATATTTAGCCGAAGTTTTCTTACCCATCCATCTCTTCTTTTTCATTCTTGATCTCTGCATCTTTTTCCAGTTTTGCTGGATCTGATCGTACTAGCATCTTAATATAGAATGTCATAGGTTTATAAATAACAAATAAATAATAAAACTTGGGCTTGTTGAAAACGTTGAAGACCACAAAAGGACATTTTAGTCTGTGTTTGAAAATAAAAGAACAAGGAAGTGATCACCAGGCTGCCTTTGGCAGATGGTGTAATGATAACAGATAAGAAAACTATTCAATTCGTATCTTGCTTTCAAATTCTGCAGCAAGGAAAGCGGTCTGCATGCTGGAGAGGTAGGAACAAATAACACCTTGAATTATTTTTTCCGGATCTTTGTTTTTTGGGGACTTTTTTTTTCTTTCACACCTTGTCTCATTGTATTTTCACCCTGTGAGGCAGTCACACTAGTTATTAGTATCCTACTTTACCGAGGAGAAAACTGTGACTCAGCATTAAATGACTCGTCCACATTCACAAACAGTGCCGGGAGGCAGTGACCTGCCACTCTATGTAAATGAGTGGAAGTCAGATAAAGCCTGGTCACATGAAATGAGTTTTAGGTGCCATCCCTGGGCGCCAGGGATGCCAGGCCACTCAGAAGACTGGGATGTGCTGGGCCAAGAGGAGATGCTCAAAATGAATGAGTGAATAGGAACTGAGGACTAATTTCAGGAGTTACTGAGATATTGCAGAGACCAAATGATGAATGAATAAGGCAAATCTCAATCCATTCTTCAAAAGGAGGGAGAGATTCCACAATCCATAACTGGGTCAGCTTTTCTCAGAGGCCATCCCAGAACAAAGCAAGAATGGATTCTTAAGCTAATGGTTTATGAGTACTAACTAAGGAATGTCGTGGTTACTAGGAGTGAACATGGGTTTATAAGGAACGTCGTGTTATGCTGGCTTAATTTATTTTCTTGCTTTTGGAATAGAGCTACTTTAAAAGATCAGAGGATTGACTAGGAAAATTAATTTTTCACAATAATATAAAAATAGAATGACTTGTTGAACACTTCCTATTTGCTAGGCCCTATTTGCCTTATTTCATTTACTCCCACAATAACTCTAGCAGGTAGGTAGGTAGTTTATCTCCCTTGTTTACAGATAAGAAACAGAGGCTCAGTAAGAGCAAGTCATTTACTCAAAGTCACATTACTAGTGAGTGACTCAAAGCTGTTGGTGGTAACAATTACACCATATTGTAGTTGACACACAGTGGGCTCATGAGATCTTGAGGCTAAGGTAAGCTAAAACTACACAGGTTGGGTCATAATACCTTTAGGCAGAGTCACAACAGGTTGAAAACAAACCCAGAGCACATTGATTGATATTTTGGCCTTGATCTGCTTAACTTTTGAATCAACGATTCAAAACTAAGGAGAAAAGCCAGTCTTACTACTGCTATTATTTAATATTTGCATAGTGTGTCCCATTTTACGGAATACTTTCCCCTAGCTTGTCACACTTGATTCTCATGCTTTAAGAAGACTTATTACTAGTTCCCACACCCCTCTCCCCACGCCTACCCCCCATTTTTCTTTACAGTGAGCAGAATTGAGGTTCAGGGAAATCAAATGACTCAATCAGAGTCATATGCTGAATAATCTGGGGACTTCTGTTTTCTATCACACTGCAACAGATATGGAGTCATGATTAGAAATAATATCAAGACATGCAAATGCCAGATCAAAACCATTAAGATGAAATATGAAGGCGATGAATGTAAAGTCTAATGCTGAAGTAAAAAGTATGTTTTAGGTTGAATGTTCGATGTAAGTCAACAATTCCTTATGATTACTCACAATGCTAATTTAATCCCTGCCTGGATGTACGGAAGCATGTCTGTATCATGCCAAGCAGTACTCCCACGGAACATGGACCCATTCAAAACATACATGGGACCCATATTTCCTGGACCCAGTCTTTATCAAAAACTTGGGCTAAGTAGAGAGTACCTAGAGGCAGGTAATCCTGCAGAGCCTGTGGGTTACATGTGCTGATGGAAGGGGATGAGGAAATGAATAGAACTTCCAATTTGCGGCAAACTTTTGAGAATGATCATGTGGAAGAGGAAGAATAATATTTCTTCTGTGTTGGTCTAGGTCTAACAGGTGTTAAGTGTCAGAAAGTCAGATTTTGGCTCCACATAAAGGGCAGTTCGAACAAGTGAGCTGCTCCTAGTGAAATGAGCCCTGTGGTGAAGTTTTAATGCTCTATCATGGGAAGAGTTCCCTCAGGGGCTGCATAGTCTTTCTTGCTCTTAGAGCCACATAAAAATTATAATGACTTATGGCTCATCCAATCGAACATTAAGTGATTGTTCCTAAACGTGCTCCAGGAGGGCAAGGAGAATTCCCAGTTTGATTTCCACCTAGCTCCAAGCGATGCCTGGAGTATAATAGATACTCAATAACTCTTTATTGAGATGACTCTCCAAAAGGGGGAGGAAAAGACTAAGGGCGAGTGGTGAAATAAATACCGGCATACATCGTTCCTGATGTAATTAACACTCCCTGGGTCATTTTGCGTGAGAGGCAACAGCAAGAGGTCTGGTCCCCAGCGTGTG